AGAAAGAGTATTAAAAATATTTTTTATATTTTCTCTCACATATTTACCTTATTTTTCTATCTGCATTTATTAAATCAACAAAAGAAAAAAAACAATAATAACAAGTCTTATCCTACTAGATGAGATCAGCTACATAAATCACACGACACTATTGTGCTCTGTCAGCAACCTAATCCTTAGATATGTTATTGACCAGGAGGTCTTGTTTAATAATCTCATTAAACATTCTTCTCGGTCTTTCTCCGCCCCTTTTTATAGGACTCCATGCTGTCTGATCTACCTTCCTCACTGGGGCCTCCAATAGCCTTCTTTGCACATGTTTAAACTATCTTAAGCAATATTCAGTCATTTTCTCTTGGATAGGCGCTACAACGACTCTTGCTTTGATATTTTCATTTCGAATGCTATCTTTTTTTGTATGACCACACATCCATCTCAATATCCTTATTTCTGCTACCTCAACTTTGTGCTCTAGTTTTTCCTTTATGGCCCAGCATTTACTGCCGTACAATATAGCTGGTCTTATAGCAATCTGATAAAATTTTTCCTTAAACTTCTCAGGTATCTTTTTATCGCAGATAACTATGATAGCTTTCTTTCACTTTAACCAACTAGCTTCTATTCTATGAGAAACGTCTTCATCAATTTCACCATCTCCATGTACAATGAATCCTAGGTATTTAAACTTTGATATCTGAGGAATGATTTAACACCCCATCTTCATCTCCAAATCACCGTCGCCTTACCTTCTCCCAAAATTACAAAGCACATATTTTGTTTTGTTCCTACTTAAGCGAAAACCTTTCGACTCCAAAGTCTTTCTCCATAACTCCAATCTAGAGTTAATCTCTTCTTTTGATTTCGTCATGAGGACTACGTGATATGCAAAAAGCATACATTTAGAGATTTTTTCTTGAATAAACTCAGTTAGAACATCCAGAATAATATTAAACAAGTAAGGACTCAAAGAAAATCCCTGATATAGACCAATTTTAATGGGAAAATCTTTTTTCTCACCTCCAAGCATTTTTACACTAGTAATTATCCCCTTATATATATTTTGTATGGTTTTGATATAAGCAACCCATACACTTTTCTTTTTCAAAGCCTTATGAGTACTTCTCTTAGCACACGATTATAAGTTTTTTTCTAAGTTAATAAAAACCATATGTAAATCCCTTCTTTTACTCCTACATCTTTCTATTAACCTTTTTAGTAAATAGATTGCTTCAACTATGGATCTCTCCGATATAAATCTAAATTGATTCTCCCAAATAGAAGTCTTCAACTTCAACCTATATTCAATCACTTTTTCCCATAACTTCATCGTATGACACATAAGTTTTATCCCTCTGTAACTTGCACAATTTTAAATATCTCTTTCATTTTTATAAGTAGGAACTAGGAACTAAAATGTTTTTACTCCATTCAACCGGCATATTCTTGGAGCATAAAATTTTATTAGAAAGTTTGGTTAGTCCCAATTCATCCTCAACACGTAAACATTTCCAAACTTCAATAAGAATATCATCAGGTCCAACAGTTTTACCGTTGTCTATTTTCTTGAGAGTCGTCTTAACCTCTCCATTTATACTATAAGTGACTTTTTGTATTATGTAAATTCATTTTTTATTATTTTTATTATAAAACTCATATCTATTTTAGTCATTATAGAAACTAAACTCACTTTTTTTAATTATAATCCAAATAACCTTTTACCCAATCTAATCTTTATAAAATTCAATCCAAATACAATTCACATCGCTTAATTTAATTTTTACACAATCTAACCTTTTTAAAAATCAAATTGATAATAAATTATTTTTTTAATCGTCAATCCAATTAGACCATGAACCATCTCCTCTGTGCGTGTTCTTTGTCTTTCCTTTAATAATGCAGTTCCCACGCACACTTCTCCACCCACTTTCAATAGTACTTGTATTTCTGCTGAGAAAAATGATGAGTAATATTACAAATTGCAGATTGTTCTTAAATGGGATATTAATGGAGTTGTTGATCGATCAAAGCGGATAATCATAGAGACAAATAAGAACTGAGATAAGGTGAAATTGGGAGGTGTAGGTTTCAGCGTTGGAGAGGCAATTAATTAGATCAGGCCATCCTCACAATTCACCAGAGTTAAAATTCAGTCAGAAAAGTGAATATATAGATGAAGTACGTACAATTTCCAAATCGAGGGCTCACAACATGACATCTTTCCTTTATAGTCTCCTCTTGAATAGTATTGAGTACTCATTTTCCGCATCCTATGCTCCTCCCTTAGCAGCTAGAGGACGTACGCAGTAGCAGCCGACAAACCAGTAATGATATATTAGGGATGCTATTGCTATGTACGCACGCATTTGCGAAGCCCCAGAATCAAGTCTCTTTAATTTGTTTGTACCTTTTTGGGAATTAGCCAAACGCAATGCATATATTAAAAACATATACCCATATACCCAGCTGCTTCATAAAATGTCGTTTGAACTTCTCCCTGTGAAACGAAGGTCTTTGTCTGACTTGTATCTTGAAAGCTCCGAATTATACATGAGATATATATAGATATATCGTTAGTTCTAGCAAGCTAAGGCCTCTTTTTAGTGAGCCATGATGGTGCAGAGGGAATAAAATCTTTGATCCGAAGGAGTAACGGGAAATGCTATGCTTTCCTTTTGCTGGACGTACAACGCTATGCAGCTACAAACGCATACATATATATATATATATATATATATGAGAGGTCCATCTCACCGGCGTGAATAATTGAAGAGGCTAAAACAATGCAAAATAAAGACACACATATATATGCCTAAGCTTCTTAGGCTGTCAGATCGGCTTGTGCACGGCCCTCCCTTTCTTTTTTCTTTTCTTCTCTTCCTGTCCCATCTATATTAACATTATTGCTCCGTTCCATTGTTTTGCTGGTGATTTCCTCATCGTATTTTGGTCTCACAAATACCCATGTTTTCTTCTATCCCTTGGATCATTTTCAGGATCTCATCATACCGCCGTATTTCAAGGTCAAAAAAAAAATCAGTTGAACCGCCGTATTAGTTTCCCCATTTTTCTTCAAAAAAGAAGGCCGAGCGGAATAAACAGTGACCGAACACATCAACTCGTCAGAACCTTTTTGAATTTGAGCTGCACCTAAGTGTATAGCAGACAGCAGTTCAGTTCGCATAGCCAGCATCTCTAAATTCTGAGAATAATTAAGTAATTATTTTTATTCCTTAATATAAAAATTAGTTAATTAATTTAAATAGATTAAAAAAATTAATTTAGTTATTTATAATAAATAAGTATTATTTTTTAAAATTTTTTTTACTAATCAAGTGTATTTATTAAAATTATCATTATTATAAGAACTATCTTAAAAAATAGATAAATATAAGAGACAAAATATATTAAAATTTTATTTTTAAAAACAAAAAAAAATTAAACAAATATGAGTTTTTTTTTTTGGCCAAAGAGATAGTATAAGTTAAACATCACGATCATTTGTAATGAACCCTGTCTGAATTCTTCATATTTTTGTGGCCAGTAAAAATCTTCCCTACTTAGGCTGTCAGCTTGATAGGCATTTATCAAGTTATCAACCGTTATCATCTGCTGCACGTACGGAACTCTTGGGATAATACATGCAAAACACACACACACACACAGACAAAAGTTAACAGTGTTCTATTCTCTTGACAGGAATCCGAATAATAAAATGCAGATTTGAGCCCTCATCTTCCCTTGCACCCTGTTTGGTTTGAGGGGAAAATGAAATTCTAATCATTTCGACGCTTGAAAAACGAAGAAATGTGCTAATAGTTTTAATTGATTTTTCTTACTCTTTTCTCTTGCCTATTTTTCTGCATGGGCAAAATCATCGAGAATATTATTGAAAACTAATTCCATCTGAAATAGCCCAAAGAATTGATTATCACGCCACAGGTGCTAGAATTTTTTTTTGAGGGGCAATCCTCGGGTGTTAGATTAAACTACAATAATATAAAACACAGTTTTAAGCATCATCGAACAATGTCGAAGCTAAGCCGGATGATTGCAATGATTTAGGATCAAATCTTTGAAAATACTCTATAGATAGTTCTAAATTTTCACGAGGAGACAACAAAATTAATAACAATTAGCTATTAAAAAAAAAGTCAACATAGGAAACAAATTGTGTGCACCCGCATACATTGACCCAAATTTTGATCTTTTTTTGTTTGGTGGGGGATGGAGGGGCGATGGTGTCAATGATACGTATATGATGCAGTAATACAGATATCTTGTGCACGATGAGAAAGAAAGAGCAAAGAATTTACTATCGGACAAGTTAAGATGCTTCAATATAATACACTCACATGCATATCTATAGAATCACTAAAATACCCAGAACCGGGGGGGGGGGGGACACTCTTGCTTTTGCAAGATGAATTCTTTAAAGCAATGATATGCTAAGAAATGATATGATTATGCGTAGATAATTGACATTTTATTCCTATTTTTATAATATGCATCTTTGCTTTCAAAAAACTTGGATAATAAGCTCCGCTTTGATTATAAAGACAAGGTTAACCTGGCTTTAATTTATACGGAATATATTTAGGTGTAATGGGCCTGACTTGTCTAAATACGCACAAATTAAGTTGGCTCATCCCATTATTTGCGTGCCGAACCTGGACATGCCAAGAGACCATTAAACTTGACCCATAAATAGCTTCTTCCAGCTAATTAATAGAGCTTGCAGAGTATTCAACACAAACTGAAACACCACTTCGATAATAAAACATAGAGCTGCAACACTACGAAGGATCACAAGTTGCCCTGCAGATTTTTGGCAGTCCTAATTAAGTACCTCGGAACAACCTAAGATCCTCCATGAATTTATTCTTGTTAACATAAACACATACAAACACAAGCCATTACTAGCTAGGTAGATATATATATGATGGATGATACAGTGCGAAGTCACGTCGTGACAAACAAACTCAGAGCTGACTGGTTTGAATTCAACGTCTTCTCGCGGCGGTTTCCCTCTGAGCATTGAAGAACACAGCGGCCACTGGAGGTCCAAGCTCGTTCTCTTCCGCATATTTTCTTGCGTTGAATCCGTCTCTTGAAGTCGGTATTTTCGTCACTGACTGCCTGCGTTTCTGCTTATATAGCAGAAAAACATACCTGTGTATCCCTATGTTCGGCCTTGGCATTTCATACTTCACCAACTCTTTTCCTGCCAGTAATTTTTTTTTTTTTTTTAGCAGAGAACTAAAGGTTAATGAAAAGCCACTGATTCTTCAAGCTCATTGTATGGGAACTGATACGCAAAAGCACTTACCGAATGAGGCGTCCGTTGTGCCTGGAATGTCTGTGACTATCCTGTGAAAATATAATTAGAAATTACCAAACACTTTCCCTTAGTGGACCTTTCACAGTGATATTTTATACACACACACACACACATCCCAATAACTAAGCACACTCGCCTTTTTCCGCTAGACTATAACAAGACAGATAAATTCAGAGGGAAATTTCGATCGCTTGCTCCTGGTTGCTCCAGAATTTAACACATCACACATGAAGTACTAATTAGCTCTATGGTTAACATGGGTATTGGAATACTTATCTTTATGACTTAAATATCGAAGCTCGAATTCCAATTATGAAGTCAAAGAACCCCGAAGTATTATCGTACGTATATATCAATGTCCGAGAATTTTACCTATGCCCTAATTCATTTATATATTCTGTGTAGGATTAAAAGGTGCCCAAGAAGAGATTACACGCCGCCAGATAATCGGCCGGTGAAACAGTATCATTCATCATTTACGCAGCATCTCATACAGTAATTAAGAAAACCAAGTGAAAGAGATACGCCGGTCAGCCATACCAGTGCAAATGCTCTCTCAGGTATGGATCACTAGGGCCAGGAACATCTGGATCTGTCATAACCTAACCAAAATTCATAGCGAATGAATGGAAAAAAGAAGATGAAGAAGATGACGACTTGGAGGAAGATGATGAAAACTGAAGAAGAATGGAAAAGTACCAAAGTGAAGAAGGATCTCATGTCGCCGCCATGAACCTGAACTCTGGGTTTAGAGGTTACTGCAGAAGGGAAGAACTCATGACCATTGAAAACCTGCTTGTTGGAGTTGTAAGTGACGGTCATTTGTACTGTTGGAGTGAAGCAATCAATGACATCTCCAATCACCCTCCCAACAGCTAGAGGATCTGCAGTTATCATTTTCATGGCCATGATAAGAACAATAATTGATTCAAACAAGAAGAGAATTAAGCTTGTGAAAGTGGTATGAGCTAAAAATGAAAAGTTGAAGATTTCCAAGGCCTTGTGTGTCGAGTGAGCAATCGGAACCCTATATTTATAGAGCAGAGATCCCCTTTCAAGTTATTATAATAAGGGTTTCATAAGATATATTGCTAAAGCGGACATAAGGGCAGAAATTAGAGTTATAAAAAGTAATCCCAATTCTCTACTGCACTGGTTGCAGAGAAGTCATGTAATCCAGTTTATAATGTCCGTTTTTATATTAAAAAAATTAGAAATATCTTTATATACGGGGCAACAAGAAAAAAATAAGTGAAAACAAATGAAAGATTCTGTTGAGATAAAATAGGTAGGATTGATGAGTGGCATAGTATTATTAAATTGTAACTTTAAGTGACGCGACTTGAGGTTAAAGCCTTCATTTTCGAGAAAGAGAACATTTTCGCAGGATTATAATAGATGCAGTTACCAAAAAATTGAAGAAATTTAATAACAAAAATTAATTGACTCTGTATTATATTCTTTAATCTATCTTTCTATGTGTGCATCACACACGTTGAAACACAGTATACTCGGAGTTCAATCATAACGTCAGAGACTAAAAGAATAGAGCTTCACGATCAGCACATGCACCCACGGCTAAAAACAAAATATAAGAGAAACTGAAAGACGACAAGAGGAAGTTTGAAAAAAGTGGCTAAGAGGATCAAAGTGGACGTTTAGTCAGTCGAAAAGGTGATTTCGAATTCTGACACAATAATTTCCAGTTTTACTATATGTCCCACGCATAGTTTGGATAATACAAGAATGTATGCTATAAATGTGATTATATTATAATTCATTTAAAAAGTCCGGATTCTATTGTTGAATAATCACTAGTTTGTGTGGATACTAATTAATATATAAGTTGTTAAAAAGTCTGCTCATTAGGAAATATCCTCACCCTATGGATTCTTTAATTATATGATTTCACTAAATTAATTATATGAGTGGCTTGGCTTCTCGTAATAAATAAACCACAATGATTAGGATAATGGAGTATCTTTCTTAGCTTACGAACGAAAGGCAAAATGTAGGAATTACTGTTCGATATATCAATATATCGTGTAGTAGTATGTATATATAGATATAGCCAATAAAATATCATTTAATTGAGAAGTTATTAAATTTTTTTGAGATAAAGTTAATAAGGTTTAAAATTTTTCTTAGTTTAAAAAAACTTATAAATAGAATTAGAGAAGCATAAAAGTAAGATACTGTGGGGATTATCTTTTGCATTAAGAGTATAAAGATGTGAAATTCCTAGGCGTGGGTGCGGCTAGAACCTTCCTTAATCTGCCCACTGATGCTTTAGTTGGCAATTATTAGGATATAATCTAAGACAGTACAATTGAAGCTCCTCCACCCACATAAAACCTATGTTTCAGTGTGGTTAGCGTCTTTTCAATAATTGTGTATACATATGTTCCATCTTCCATGGTAGTAGCTCAAATTGTGAATTATATTATTGTCCTTCAATTCTTACATTATCATCATATTCCCAGCATGGACCACATCTTATATGTATGTACATGTGGTAATAACTTATTCCTTAAAAGTTAAAAATATAAATTCATTTGCTTGAAAAAGGCAACTCATCCCAACTAGGTAGGAACCTAGCTACCTAGATGCTTTTCTATAATTTACATCAATATAATTCGGACATTGTTGAATTCAGCCATCGTTTTGACGTTTCATATTTGATCAATGATCATTTTGTTTATTATTTTCGGTAATACCATTTTCCTATATGTATAGGCATATTTAAAATTTCCGAACTTTTTCACATATTGCAAGCAATAAATGTATTAATTAAATTAGTGTTCATGATCAGAGTGGTCGAATGTAAAATAATCATACATGTTTTGTCTAATCAAAATGTAACAATATATATATATATATATGACACGACAAATTCACTCCCACCATCGCTAGAATTTTGTTCCAAAGATAATTCTTTTATTTGCTATTCTTATTCTTCGCGCATAAAAATAGGGGGAAAGTGACTTTCGTGGTATTGTTATAATCAATTAATCGTGGAAGGCATTATTCTGATGTGAGAAACTAGATGTCAAATTTTGGATTGCAAGTACGACTTATGGCGAGGCTTGCATCTATTAGTATTTTGCACAATGAAATTGTAACACGCTCTCTCTAGTACTCATGAAATAATATGAAGAACAGATTGAGCTTGTCGTTTTTTTCCGGAAAATAATTCTATTACCTTAACTGAGTCCTTACTTAAATAGCATGCATCGATATTGATAATAAAATTTTCAAACTATACAATTCACAAGTTATAGAAATACTCTCCGATCTAAATATAAAACCCTATTTTGTAGTATACATTATAAAATAAATCTTATATTTGGAACCAGAGGAGTACAATAGTAACACAAAAAATACTTTTTTTTGCTCATGACCATGCTTTTGATCAGCAAATCAAGCTATCATTTAATTAAACACATTATACCAGGCTTAACTCTACTTATTTAAGGCCTTCAAGTGAGAGACAGAAGACAATATAAGGGTTGTTTGATTTGTACAATGGAATGAAAAGGAAGAGTAAATTGAATAATTTCTTTTTATATACGAATGCCATTAATTTGTATTTTTAGATAAAGACTAAAAGAAATAAAATTATCTGTCGAATAATGATTATAGAAAATAATTTCTTCTCTTGGGTTGCTCCAAAAGGATCTCTTTTGGGTCACTGGATGGGCACACAAAGGTGGGAAATGGAATTTGAGTATTGGGCCAAGACAGCCCATCTTCTGTTCGATAATTTTTTTCCATATGAAAAACTGTAACCTCTCTCTGAAAGGGTGAGCCTTTTCAGTAGAAAACGCTACCGTTGAATTCCCGCGGGAAAATTTCGCAACCATGATGAGCGCGTCAACCTGTGTTTCTGTTCCTGGAAACCCCACAGTCACCTTGTTGGAGAAATGCAGAACTCTGCGCCAAGTGCGTCAAATTCATTGCTATATGATCAAAACAAACCTCGTCAGTCACACATTCTCCGTCTCTAAACTGATCTCTGTTTGTTCTCACACCGGTGAACTCGACTATGCCTTGTCCATTCTTCTTCGAATTCAAAACCCCACTTCATGCCTCTTCTTTCGCTCTCTAATCAAGGGCTTTTCCGAAAGTTCAAATCCTTTTCAGGCCGTAATGCTTTACGCCCACATGCTATTCTGCTTAGAAGATTTGCGGGGAATCGATTTCTCCGTTCCCTCTGTACTCAGAGCTTGTGGCAGATCCTCTGCGTTCAGAGAAGGGAACCAAATTTTCGGTCACGTATTGAAGACCCATCTATGGTTTGACCCGTTTGTGACAAATTCTGTGGTTCGCATGTTCTTGGAGATTGGTGAGATCGAACTTGCGAGATCGGTGTTTGATAGAATGCCTGTGAGAGACTTGATTTCTTGGAATTCCTTGATTACGGGTTATTTGAGGGCCGGCGAGATTGAGCTTGCACGTGAACTGTTTGAGAGAATGCCCGAACGGGACCTGGTTTCATGTAACGCCATGATTGATGGGTGTGCAAAGCAAGGAATGTATAAACTCGCTGAGGATATTTTTACGACAATGAAGGTTAGGGATTTAGTAACTTGGACAACAATGATTTCAGCTTATGTTCTTAATCACCGCCCTATGAAAGGCTTAGATTTATTCAGAGAAATGTTGAGTAAAGGAATTCAACCTGATGCCCCTGCTATTATCAGTGTCCTTTCAGCCATTGCTGATCTGGGTTTTGCTGAGGAAGGAAAATGGATGCATACTTACATGTCTACCAATAAGATAGATCGTTGTTCTAGTTTTATTGGATCAGCTCTCATAAACATGTATTCGAAATGCGGCCAAATCGAAAATGCCTACCATGTATTTAGAGGCATATCTCATCGAAGAAACACTGGGGATTGGAATTCCATGATGTCTGGGTTTTCTATCCACGGGCTTGGTCATGAAGCCATCAAGCTTTTCTTGGAGATGGAAAGGACAGAACTTATGCCTGACGATATCACTTTTTTAGGACTCCTAAGTGCTTGCAACCATGGAGGTCTAATGAATGAGGGCCTATCCTATTTTGAAACCATGCAGGTGAAATACAAGATCGTTCCTAAGATTCAGCACTATGGATGCATAGTTGACCTTCTCGGTAGATCAGGTCATTTAAAAGAAGCACTTGAGATCGTATATGATATGCCCGTGGAGCCTGATGTTTTAATCTGGAAGGCCATTCTGAGTGCCAGCATGAAGCATAATAACATTGAAATAGGTCAAATTGCTGCAGGACGAGCTATGGATTTGGCTCCAGAGGATTCAAGTTGTTATGTTCTCCTCTCAAATCTGTATGCCAAATTGGGACGGTGGGATGACGTGGCTAGCGTTAGAATAGTGATGAAAAAGAGAGGAGTAAGAAAAATTCCTGGGTGCAGCTCCATTTTTGTGGATGGTAAAGTTCATGAATTCCTAATTGGGAAAGCAATAGATGTGGAGAGCAAGCAAAACATTCTTTCCATGATAGAGGAAATAGTCTCCAAGTTGAAATTGGAAGGATATGAGCCTGACCTTAACCAAGTTCTTCTGGATCTTGAAGACGATGAAAAGGGATGCCATTTAGCTCTTCACAGTGAGAAGATGGCTCTTGCTTTTGGACTGCTGAATACCTCCCATGGGATCCCCATTCATATAGTGAAAAACTTGAGGATTTGCCGTGACTGTCACTCGTTCATGAAACTGGTTTCCAAAGTATACGACCGGAGAATTATTGTCAGGGACCAAAACCGCTTCCATCATTTTGAAAATGGTGATTGCTCTTGCCAAGATCATTGGTAATTTCGATGTTTAGTTTGTGAAGAGATCATGAATACGTGGGCAAGGGGGTTGATTTGATTGGGTTTCATTAGACTGATACGATTAATATTTGATTTGGTAAATGAAATTCCAGCGCCCCAGTCGATATTCATTCCATTCAACGATCTTAGCCACTTAAGACCAGCTTCGATGATTGGATGAGCAGAATTGGAGAATTTAAGTACTAGTCCATCATTCTTTGATGGTGTAAATATAGACATCCTCTGCTAAGAATCAACAAACAGGTATTTCTTTTCCTAATATTAAATGAGAATCACATAGAATTTTTTTTTTTTAAAAAAGGAGAACTTTTATGGAATAATTATAATGTTTTCCATATTAGCTAATTGTGGTTTTTCAAATGTTATTTTAACTTTCTATTCATCTGTTTAATTGTTATAAATTTAATGGTGGTTTTTTTTATAGTAATATTTATTGGAAATTCTTGCGAGTTCCGCAACTGTGTGATAATTTTTAAATAACGAGACTTCATTCCCTTTATATAGTATAAAAAATTCTAACCTCATGGATGGATTCTTTAAATAACGGCTCTATTTGGGTTAGCTTCTACTTAGTATTTGTTTGAGCTTTGCTTAAATAATCTTTATGTGATCGGACGACTTTTTTGTCTGTATCTTTTTATTTTTTATTAAAATGGTCTTTTATTAAAAAAAATCATTTTGTGTTATATTGATATTTTTAATATTTGTTTATTGACTGATTTGACTTCTGGACCTACTTTTTCAAATCCAAGGAATCCATATGAACATAAACTTCACCTTGTCTGTTTTTACACAAAAATCTAAATCCATCCCATTGTTTAATATTGAATAAAATTGAATGAAACCGGTATTGCATCTAACCTTACCTTCATTCGTAAGAGCAAACTTAAACACCTCTGTGGTGGTCGTATTCAATGGATATAGAGATTAAAAGTCTTGCCCCATGAGAAGCTCCACATTTGAAAAGATTGTTTCGTCCTATATTACATGCAAGTACATTTCTGTCCCCTTCCTATATAGCATCAATTGCAACAATATATCAGCCATTGTGTTTAGAGGGAGAAGTTTACGCGGTCAAATTCATAGTCTAAAGGGAAAAGATCTTTTTTTTTTTTAAAAAAAAAGAGTTATAAAGAAAAGGGCATTTTGCCCTTTTCACTGCTTGCATATATGAAAACGATTATTGGGTGGCTAGTAAATAGAGCCAACCAACCACAACAATCCCACTGCCCAAGCACAGAGTTACCACCAAGGAACCGGCATACCATTACCAGGTTCCCCCTCTTCCCCTCCACGCGTCAATAAATATCATACCCTCGCCTATGTTTTTAGTTCTTCTATTTTATATAAAAATCAGAATTACAATTTAGTCCCTTAATCCAATTATGCCCCATCTGTATGCTTGAACTCCTCCTTCAATTTCAATTTTTCCTTGACTTGTCTTTTATATTAATTTTTTTAACTCATCTTTTATTACTCACTTCCCATCTTTAATATAAAAGCTAGTTTGACTTTTAATTTGATTTTAAATATGAGATCTTAATCCACTTTATTTTTCATATTTATCCATTTTTGTCAAGGTAGTCCTTATAGCAGCTGCACATGTTAAATGTCTTATCAAATGATAGTTTTAGCTAATACACATGATTAATAAGGGTATTTTAGGAAAGATAACACTTATTTATTACAAGTAACTAACTTAACTAATTTCTTTAATTCTTTTAAGTTAGTTAACTAAGTCTTATATTAAAAACAAGAGGTAGTATTTAATTATCTCAGCAATGCTTGACCAATAAAAATCTCAACACTGCTAATTTGCATTGAAATTGAAGCTTCCAAGCCAAGAAACTATCAAATTGAGTGTTAATTTTTTTAAGCTGTTATATGCGCGAAGTGGAAAAATTGAGGACTAGATTGAAACATTCTTGCAGATGGAAGGACAAAATAAGACCGAAGCTCATAAAGACTGAAAAAAAGAAAAAAGCGAGGCCCATCATATATATACCTCCCTCGCTTCCAGACAAAACTTTATTCAAGATGGTGCCAATGGCAGTTAAAGTCACAGTGCATTGTATCTTCCCCCACCCCCTTCCTCTCTTCCTTCTGATATCTCTCTAGTTCGGTCGTCCTTTCTCTCTTTCAGATTCTATCGCCGTTCAATTTCAGGTATTTTATGTCTGAGTCTTCTGCTTCTTTCATCATCGATCTGATGACCATTCAAATCTCTCTCTATAAATTTAATCTCTTCCACCATTTTTTTTTCCTTTCTACCATTTTCTGTACTTTCCATGCCGATCTTATTCATATACATGGATGCATGCGACATGCAAGTATCTTAGTGACTTCCCTGCTAACTTCAGTTGCATCAGCATCCCAGATCAGTGGTTATAATTCTCTCTGTCAAATATGAATAGTGATTTCGCTTTTCTACTTAATCAATTACATATATATTCCGTTAGAATGGCTTCTAATTGCGTTGTTGATGCGATTTGATAGAAACTGAGAATTGATCTCTGGTTGCCGAAGTTCAATTTTTGCATGTTTCGTAATCAATAATGCTAGTTTCCGAGACAGAAACGGTCGCTTCCGACAAGAGCCATACACAACAGTTGGCGCCTTCGTCCCTATCCCTGCCTCTTCCGCAATTGCAGCATGAATCGCCGTCAAAAGAAGCCTCAATTTCTTCACCAAACAGTCATCAACATTCAATACTCTCTCTTACCCTTGAAGAAATCCAAATCAAGAGCGGAAGGATGTTCGGGTCAATGAGCATGGACGAATTCCTAGCCAATATTTGGAATTCCGACGGTAACCAGGTCGATTCACAACCGCCGCCGCTCGCCCGTGAAGAATTGCCTGTTCAAAGCAAAAACGCAGGTGCAGAAACAGCACCCGTTATCTCCCAACAACCCTCATTGTCTGTTCCTCCTCCGATTTGCAAGAAAACTGTGGATGAGGTTTGGTCTGAGATCCGCAAAGATCACCAGCCACAGCCAAATGAAGAAGCTAATGACGAAATTAGCGGCAATGAGAGCCTCAAAAGGCAACAAACACTTGGGGAAATGACTCTGGAGGATTTCCTGATAAAAGCTGGGGTAGTACAAGAATCATCTTTACAGTCATTCATACCCTTGAAGACTTCTGGGCCTCAACAACCATCATCATCGTTGCCATTTCAGATCCAAATTGGGAATATGACAGATAATAGACCATTCGATGCGCGTTATAAAATGGGGCCTGCAGTGAGGATGGGATTTTCTCCCCAACAGAATGTCGGAGGCTGTTCGTCGGGAAATGGAACTGCAACGCGCCGAGTGTTGTCCCAGAGCCATAGCTTAGCAGGAAAAGACCCCGCCAATGGTGGTGCTGCTCAGAAATTTCAAACATCAAGAGAGTCTGCTAGGAACAGTGGCAAGAGGAGGATAATTGATGGCCCTCCTGAAGTGGTGGTGGAGAGACGGCAGCGCAGGATGTTGAAGAATCGCGAATCAGCAGCGCGTTCTCGAGCAAGAAGACAGGTTTTGCACTCATCCTAATCTGCTCTTTTGTGCGTGCGCGCTCGCGTGTTTTCTTTTTTTGGGTTTTATAAGAAACGACGAACAGTTTCCCTGAAAAGTTTGCTCGTTTTACTTTTCAAAGCCTCGTAACATTTTCAGGGTCGGATAGAAGATATATGCAAGCACTTTGTTTTTCATTTTGTGGATGACAGCATATCAGAATGCTAATTGTGAACTATGGACTATAGAACTTTGTTTATGCATATTTAACGATTAGAGAATACTAAAAGATTGTTGAGTTTAGTTGAGTAGACTCTTACCGAAATTAGAATTTATTCATTATCTTGTAATTATTCATGATTGACTTTTGATTTATATACGATTTTCAGACTGATTCTATCTAACAAATTTTCTTGTTTTAGGACAGGTATTCACTTCCATTGCAATCGCTTTCTTGAAATGGTTTCTTGGGACCTTTGGTTTCCTTCCCATTATAATGTCTGGTCCTTATTATTGTAGGCATATACGGTGGAGCTAGAAGCAGGTCTGAGTCAACTTAGACAAGAAAATGAAAAGCTGAAAGAAATTCTGGTACACGAAGTTTTTACAATATATTCATCATGATGATAATTAATATTGTCTTGTGTTTTAACAAATTTTTTTTTAAATAATTCGAAATAGGCTGAAGCTGAGCGGAAGAGAAGACAAGAGGTGAGACTTAGTAAGCGACCTTCATTTTTTGCCTTTAATCTGATCGAATAGCCAGAAAGTGACACCGAAACGTGAATCATGATGCTTGCTTGCTATATATATATATATATATATATATATATGTTTTGACCTTGTGTTTTGATGTATAGATAGCGCGGAAGAACCACACAACCAGGGCTCAGAAAAGAGCAGAGAAGTTTAGGGCTATGAGGAGGACAGTGAGCGCGGCCTGGTGATTGTGGTGAATGCCGGGCCTTTGATTCCAAGGGATGAGACATTTAATGCTTGTAATATAATATAATATAGTCTGTTCTGTATTGAAAGTGATGCTCCTGTGAGATATCTATACATACATATACGAGCCTCTATTCGGCAGGGATAATGAGACACATCAACCATATAAATATATATATAGTATGTATATAACAGCCGCCAACCATTTTAATTATTGTATGTATGTGTATTTTACATGACCGTATGTATCTATCGTGTGTTATATATATAGGGTATTGAAGCCATTTTATTTATGCTTGCGGATGCATTTTTTTTTTTCAAAAAAAAAATTCATACCACGAGTTACTAAATTTTCATGGAAAATTTAAGTTTGTGAATTTTATTGATCTTAGCATTGATGGTATTTCTAGTTATACTCTGTGATAGTGAAGTTGTATGTATCAGATTAAGGTACACAACACTTAGTTTTGTGTGACATGATATATAAATTTAAAATTATTTCTCACGCATGCGTTCAAAAATAGGATTTTTAGAGCACTTGTCCTGTTATCCATTTTGTCATTGCTTGGTATATGATAGTGGGTGATAAAAGCACGGCATATGTTTATTGGGCAAACTTCAGGACACCGTTTCTTTAGGCACACTTACGTTGCAATTTATACCAGAGGTTTAATGTGAGAATTTCTTAAGGATTCATAATCCATCATTTCGAGACCATGTGAAAATAGTAATGAAGATTGTATGAATATATTTTTGAAAAATAAAGTATTAAGCAGGCAATAAAAATGACCAAATTAAGAAATAAACTTCATAATCATTACCACGCACGCACGATTTCCAATTTATCATCTATAAAACTACAGAATAATTAATGAGGTGTGAAAAATATAATGTCAAGGGTGAGTTAGTAATTTTATTAATAATTTATAAGTTAATCTAAATTATATTACATAGAATTATATGTGATAGTACATTTTTTTATGCTTAAATATCTTTCTATTAAAAACAATCCTATTTAAAGTATTGTCAGACATTAAATGTGAATACTTCTCTTAACAGGGAATAGTATTTTTTTTAATACACATGTAATAGTGCAAATTATGAAAAATAAAACTGACTTATTTGTTTAAATAGGCCCAATAATAAGTCTCTAAGTTTATGAGAGTGTTTAGATAAAAATCAAATCATGATTTTAAAAATATTTTTATAATATACGATGTAAATATGTAAAGAAATTTATACTTTTTAAAAATCACTTCCCCAAGCACCCTGAGTTTGATTTTTCTTTGACTTTCGTCCGGTTGAGTTATCGGCCCCCTCCGGCCCCACTTCGACCCCTACTATGCAGTATTTTATCCCAGATCCATTTTAGTCTTGAAATTATATTCTCTTCTGATCCTTAATATAAGATCTATTTAACTAATTTGATTAGATTAAAGAAGTTAGGTAAGTTAGTTAATTATAAGAAATGTGACATGTTTTTCTAAAACACCATGATCATCTTTCTTAATACCTCTCTTCCTCTTCTATTTGATTATGGTTGAGGGAATATCTATAGGGATAATTTAGAGAAAATTAATAAATATGAGAAATGGATCTTATATTTAAAATCAAAACTAACTTAATAATTGGGTCCTATATTAAAGATCGGAGAGTAATTACGTAATTATGAAAACAACAACTCTAGTTACCATCTCCACATGCGCTTTTTAAAAATAAGTAGCAAACGTCCCTGTGCTCTAAAAGATGGGAAATAAACGACGTGCCCGGACTACCGCCTCGTCCTCCCGCGTTATTTGTACTTTATAATATTATTTTATATTCATGGCTGCATTTCTCTGAGAACTGCAACGTAGCGAGCTTTCTCTGGGTTTCAACTTGGTGAATTCCACTTTCAGGTACAAAAGTTCTTGAATTCAATCTCATCGTACTCATCTGAGGTGATCTCAGACTAGTTAAATTTTCACCTTCAGGGTTTAGTATCTCCTGCTTGGTTTTTTCGGTATGGTTGGGAACCTTGTTTGAACTTCTTGATTCCACTAGTAATCCTAAATTCAGATGTTTGCTACGTCGTAAATACATCGAAAGCCTTCCCTGTGCTTCTCGTGCATCATTGAGTGCTTTTCCTGCTCTATGTTGTTGAAATATTTCAACTTTTTTGCGTTCCTTGTGATCCGCTCTTCTCTGGGCAACAGTGTTTTGCATCTAGTTTTGTTCATTCCGTCATATAGGGCGGATGGGGTTTCTTTGAATTAGTAATGTACGTTAGCGCATATCGGCGCTTATGGCATAAATTGACCTACGTCATTTTTATTCTGGAAAGTTTGAAGTGTTAACTTCATGAACTCAAGTTACATAACTGGAAATAGTCACAGTCTGTTGTGTTTCTTAGAGTATGTAGCTTTATTAGTTTCACATCTTCCCCTATTTATATGATCATGCAAACTGCAAAGCATCGGCCCATTAGAACTTTATCTGTACTGAGTATAGAGTTTCTCTACACCATACTGATATATATGAGATGATGTATTCATT